TTATCTAAATGACTTATACCATGCACAAAGAGACATATATTCTGCCATTTTAGACATCTTCCAAATAGAGTCTTTGGAAATTGTGAAATGAATGCTTGGAATATAAGTGAATGTTTTACATGGCTAGAGGAGGGAAAAGTTGGGTTTCTAAACTTATATCCTCATTATGAAGAAAATCATAAATCACGGTCATGGTCATATAACTTTCTTACAGAATTTCATCGCAGTTACACAGTGTTTTTCAGAAAGAGAAAAGGCAGGGGCAGTGGGAGCTGCTGGGCTTATAAAAATTGGGATTTCAAGAAGACCATTATTTCTCTCTTAAAGTAGCTTTTGAAAAAATGTATGACCTTTGTGTTATTCACATATATGACCATTAGTTTATCATCAGAGGACAACTCTAATTCCTAAAGGTCTTTTAGCAACCCTACATTAGCTAGTACAGTATTAGTAGCCAAAATATTTAATAATTGTGACTTGTAGCTACATTTTCACATTTATGCATTAGAATGAGTGAACCCCATGTCATAGATGTTATACTGAGAGGTTTCAAATAGAGAACATTTTACATTTGTTTTGGGGTATGTCTAAAAATGTTAAGAATTCTGATGCTAAAGTCATGGTCATAACCAGCCCCAAACAGTTACAGACTGTCTCCTTTGATTTTCTCCCAGAAGGTCTTGTTCTCTTGTAAGCTTCCTTGGAAGGAATCTAGATCTCCCCTTGTGCCCCTGGTCTCTCCAGTGTCTTCTTGGGCTGCAGAGGAAAAGGTTCCAAGTCATTTCTCTGTTCTCTCCCATTACTACATAGAGGGTGATGTGCATGCTCATGCCTTAGAAGGAACCTGTGACATCTTATAGACAAGGAGTTTGGTACTTTGCTAGTACTTGAGAAATGTTGGTTGGAACTGGGTAAAATTCAAACAATGCTGACCCCTTGAGTACTCCAACCAGCCCTTTTCCACCTTAGTGTTTCAAAAGACCTCTTATTGTGATCTACTCTCTCCCCTTTCAGACAAGACCTGAGCTCTGAGACCATTTTTCCCATTCAGTCTGAAAAGAGCCTTGTTTTCCATTTGTGTAGGAGACAGCACCATAACCTTGACATCAAAGAATGAAATCTCTAATTGGGTTTCCTGGGGCTCCCCAGGGATCCCCCAAATATTTCCCAATTACAGTTAAGATGGTAGTTTGGAATGGGAAGGTTAGATTTCATTAGCTGGAATTTTGGGCCACTCTTATCAACTTTGCTTCATTGCTTGTCTCCCTTGATTACTTTTGTAACTATTACATTTGGTGACAGGTATAATCCCAGCTTCAAATCCTGTTGAACTACCCAGGTAGATGAAGGTAAGCTGTCATCAATCAACAGTAAAAGACGGGAAGAAATTCAAGTAACTTCATACCCCTTCGTATTCCAGGAATTGCTGAAATAAGTATGCTGTTCTCATGAAGAACAAAAAGAAACTGAGCGCTTAGTGCCCTTCTAGAAGGGGAGAGTCACGCTGAATAAATGATGAATCATTCAGTCATACTCAAAATTATTATTTTGTTGATATGAACAAGGACATTGTGGCTAAAGGGATGGTTCAATGGGTGAAAGCACTGGCTGCTCTTCCAGTGGACCTGAGTTTGGTTCCCAGCACCTATGTAGGGAGCTCACAGGCTGTAACTCCAGCTCCAGGGAATCCAAATCCCTCTTCTAGACTCTGCCGGCACCCATACATACATGGCATACACTCTTGCAGACACAGACACATATACATAAATAAAAATTTCTTAAAATATAAAATGTAAAAAAATATAAATATCTCTGAAATCCAACCATTTGCAGTCTATTTTGTAGCTAGCATTTGTGATAGATATTGTACCCCCAAAGCAAAAGTGTTTCTACATTATCCTTTTCAGTAATCATCTTAACACATACATTTTGGTATGTCTCTTGGTAGTCTCAAAGTACACCTGAATTCTTATGGGTGTGGTCCTTTCACTCAAATGAATCTAGCTATTTTATTTTAAAAGCAAGTGATGTTAGGTACTGCTTGAAAGCATAGCATTTTCTTGTATACAGCCCTACTGATTTGTTATAAATAGGGAATTTCGTGAAAACTCCAGGATCTTTTTCATCTATAAACTGCATTGGGGTGGTTCTATGCTGGGAATTGCCAGGGTCACTATTATGTTTTCATTTCTGCCCTATTTTTAGAAAGAATCATGTTTGTCAGACTGTGTAGTTCTAATGGACCGAACAGCGTTCTCCCAGGCAGTCACAAAGACAGCAGCACAGCAATGCTGGGTGGAGGATGAAGTTACAGGGCAGTTTTTCCCAGTTAGCATTTGGTCCCTTGGTTCTCACTGCTGGGCTGCTCTGAGACCTAAAATGAAGAACAGAAAGAAAGGGAGAAAAAAAGAAGAGGGCGACCCAGACTGTGCACCCTGACTGATGACACCTTGCTCTCCAGCTGTGACTGGAAAAGACGCTTAATATTCGGTGTGTGTGCATAGGGGGAGGGGGAGGACTGGGTATTTGGAAAGTTCTTCTGCTTGTAATGAGGCAGGCAGTCAGTTTTCTATTTCAACCACGGACACACACAACGTTCAAGCTCCTGCCGAGACGCCACCGGCATCTATTGTTCAAAAATGTTTTAAAAAAATAATTTGGGTTGCTCTTTTCTGTTGAATCTGTGTGCTAAACGACAGAGACCTGTATCTCTCTTTTTCTGTAAAACTCAGAAAGACATATTAAAGAATTGAGACATGCATTCCCTAAAAGGACTTAGCGCAGTCACTTAAAAAATTCAGATACACATATATCCCGTGTGCATCTTCTCCCCGTACCCACTTTACTAATTCGAAATCAATAGTTATAACGGAAATCCGCTTCCCCGGTGGGTGACTTCCAGTAGGCTTTTCTCGCAGAAGCCCAAATGCCAGGAACCATACAACCTGTCCCCCCGGGGTCACCAATTCAGCTACTGCCCAGCGCGCTGGTTTCCTTAAAAGTAAAAGTTGCCTGCGTGATTAGCCCAGGTCTGATTAGCAAGCACAGTTCTCGAGCCTCGGAAGGGAAACACCACTGGCTCTCCACGACGATGATGATGACCCGAAACCGCGCCAAGCCACGCGCGCTTTGCTCTCTACTCCACATCTCGCCACCCAGCTCGTGTTTTTAGGTCAGATTCGGGTTTTAGGGAGAGAAGCAACTCATGCAGCCCCTCGGATGTCGACTCTGAAGTTTCTTCTGGAACCGTTTTCCGAGTCCATCTTTCGTGGTCTAGATAGAGGGAGGCGCGATAGGACTCCCCGCATTGTCACTGTGGCCTGACAAGGTCAGGTGAATGAAAATCCAGTTGGGGTTGGTACCTAACCTGCCTACCCGGCGCTAGGCTTGGGTCTTTGTCCGCCTGGCCTGGCGCGGGGCTCGCGCGCTCCCACGTCCTGCCGGCAGGTGGCGCGGTTGGTTCACGAAGAGCCGCTGCCCCGGCTGTTTGCAAGGTGCCTCCAACCTCCCAGATCTCGCACTCCCGCTGGGACCCAGACTTCGGAGGAAAATCCAGCCTTGCCCTTGTGGGAGCCAAAGGAGGGGCGGCCCGGGAGCAGAAAGGGAGGCGCATCCTTTGGAACCTGGACCCTTCCAAAACGCCGGGGAACAAGCCACCCAGTTGCATCCGGGGCCGGTCCCAGTGCAGCTGGCTGAACTGGCGTCGCCGTTTGGCGTTCAGGTGGCTGCGCCAGTGGCTGGAGCACCGGAGGACAGCTGATGGTGCCTGTGACCCTGGGAGGTTGAGTGACACCCAGGACGCGCCTGGGAGAGGGGCGACCTGACAGCTTTCTGCGGGTAGGTCCGCTCACCTCGGTCTCCTGGGAGAAGACAGGGAGGACCAGTCTCCATCAGCGCCGGGAGCCGTCGGAGCGCAGAGCCTCTTAGGCTGCACCTAGCTGCGACTCTCCCTTTGCCTTGTCTGTACTGCAGGTCCCCGCACTCACTCTTAAGCCCCTTGTGCCCACTCCTGTGTGGCCTGGAAGGTCTGTCTAGTCCAGGGAGTCTTCCTGGAAAACACAGGGTGGGTTTCCAGTAGCCAGGGCTGGCCCGGGGTGATTTCAGCCACGAAGAGTCCCGTCCTGGGATCGAGCGACGGAGACATTCGATGTGAAGGTGGGGACCTGGCCAGGGGGCACTTCCCGAAGGTAGTGAGGGGGACAATGACTGAGCCCTGTTGCGGACTGGATAATGGAGATCACTATGCCCCAGTGGCTGAGGAACCAAAGAGCTACGAAACTCCCCACCACTCCAAATCATGTCACACGGAGGGCCACCATAAAGACACAGAACAGGGCGAGGAGGCAGAGGGG